AATAACCAAGAGTTTGAGACAGCCAGAAATACAGTAGGAAACTAAACTCTAAGTCAAGGACTTTATACACAAAGATGGTATAACTATAATTATTTAATTTACTATTGGGTTATCGGTTAACCCGTTAAAACCCGATAACAAAAATAAATCTAAACTGCTAAACCAATAACTCATTATTGATAAATCAATAACTTCTTTTATGTTCGAATTATCGATTTCGATTCGATTTTGAACCACTGCGGGTTAGCTACATGTGTTTACTTATCAAAAGTTACATTAACTATTGTGACATGTCACTAGTTTATATGATTTAGTTGAATCTTATGATTGTGACTTTCCATTCTAAAAGAACAGAAGAAACAAGTTTAGTTCCAGCTTTTATTAAGGCAAAGGCTTTGTATTGGTTATTCATTTGAAGAAAAGAAAGTACAATGACATCTCAACTTGTCACACAGGCCTTTATTAATTATTATTGTCAAAATACACCAGCAAATAGGCCATATAGTTTGCAAAGATTTAATAATTAATATCTTTTTATTTTACTTTGGGAAAAAGGTCTGAAAAATATCTCAACTTTGGTTGAAATTGCTGTTACGATACCAAACTTTAATGAGGACCTATTACCCCTAGACTATTTAATATCGTATTTTAAACATATATATTTGCCCAACTGGTCAAGTGCGTGAAAACACGATGCATAGGCGCGTAGGGCAGCAAATAATTTTTTTTAGGCCAATCATTAAATGCCACGTATCACTACAGGGATTAAACTATATCTATTTCTTTTTACCTATAATTCTAATTCATTTTACACCCTTTCTCCTTCGCTGGAGATTATTTTCTAAATCCAAAAGACCACCATTGAAGGGCCAAGTAAGCTTTGTAGGGAACAAATTATTTTCTTTAATTTCAAATTTTTTTCTTGGTCTTATTTGTTCTATTGTTATTTAGGGCTTCTAATTTCTTTCCTTGATTTTCAGCATGATTTTGATCTTTGATTTCTTCTTTGGCAATGAAGTGAAAGAGAGTTCTGGGAAAGAGACGGAGTGACAGTGAAGTGACTATTGATTTCCCTTTTTTTGACTTTTTCAAATATGTTTATTAAAGGGAACGAAATGACTAATTTAATTAATTTAATGAATTAAAACGTGTGTGTGACACACTCAACTAACATAAATTGAGTATGGACAAATATATATGTTTAAAATATGGAATTAAATAGTCTAGGGGAGTAATAGGTCCTCATTAAAGTTTGGTATCGTAACAACAATTCCGACCAAAATTGAGGTATTTTTCAAACACTTTTCCCTTTTTACTTTTAAAATTATTTATATACTTGAATTTGGACGGTTTTGTTTTTTGTTTTTGCTATGTTTGATTTTTTTTAATAGATTGGACTTTTGGAAGAATGCAAGTGAGGCATGTATAGCGCGGTTGACTGAGTTGTTTAATGTTATATTTAGGATGGTTAAAATATCAGAGGAATAATTGTAATATTCGGAATTGTAATAACTATATGGGTATCAAGATACTAAGTCAGCTATGAAAGTATGAAAAAGGTGATTGAGATAAAGACGAGGAGATGCGTGTCTATCTTTGAGAATCAATTCGGATTCGTTCGGGGCGTTTGACTATAGAAGTCATATGTCTTATAAAGAGATCGTTGGAGCAATATAGGGTAGTTATAAAGACAGTAAGAAGGACTTACACACAAGGTTTATTGACCTGGAGAAGACATGATAAAGTCCTTAGGAATGTCGTCCTTTGGAGATGTTTGGAGTATAGAGGTGTGCATGCATGTGGCTTACATTAGGACTATTAAGGACATGCATGATAGATCAAAATCCGAGGTAAGCAATTGGAGAAGACTCGTAAGACTTTGGTTGCACCAGGGCTAGTTCTTTTTTGCCTTAGTGATGAATGGTTTGACACAACATATCCAAAAGGAGGTGTTGTGGTGTATGTTAGTCTCAGATGATATAGTATTAATTGAATAGACGCACGATAGAGTAAATGATAGGCTGAAAGATTGGCGACTAATGCTTCATGTTAAGCATGACTAAGACATATATATAGTAAATGGAATGTAAGTTCAGTGACGTGATGCATGTTGCAGACACGAAAGTGAAGATCAATGCACTAGTCATATCCAAGAGAAAAAAAACTTCAAGTATCTTGAATTTATAATATATGGAGACACGACAATTGACGATGATATCACATATCACATTAGAGTTGGATGATGGGTGAAGTGGAGACTCGTCTCTTGGATACTGTTTGACAACCCTGACAAAAACGATCATAGAGACTTAAAGGTAAGTTCTACAAAGTAATAATCCATTAAACCAACACTATTTTGCCAAAGCAATTTCTATTATGCAATAATAAGTAAAAATATATAGATGAAAGAGCTAAAAGATTAATTTGCCTAAATAAGTAATTAGTGGTGAAGGACCACTCAAGATTCTGAAATGCAATTTTTGGAATTAATCCTGTTTATCCAACTTTATTAAAGTGGCCTCCAATTTGTCTTATCTATGTAACAACAACAAGGTGATAGTAACGTGAATACATTTTCAAGTCAAATGAAAAATGTTAAGAGTACTGAAATGAAATATAGTATATTATTGCGTGTTAAGTTGTTCAATTAAAAGATTACACTAAAAAATATGATACACTGGATAGTACATTAATTTGAATATATACTATGTATAATTAGTATATATCTTTTTATATATTAATCAGTGATTATAATTATTTTTTATCGAACAATCAAATATATCAAAAGGAAAAAAAAAAGAAAAAAAAAGCAAGTTGCCCTTTCTAGCCATTTTGGTGACAATCCACTTAATAGAGGACATATATGTCATCATAGGAGGAAGCCCAATAGGGTGAATCTAGTAAATGGGGCTTAAAAAAAAAATCATGAATTAACAATAGATAAATTTTATAATTAAGAAATAAAATTTGTTCCTAGTGTTAGTTAACAATATTTTTTTTATAAATTATGAGCAATTTAGCGATGAATTAATGACAATATTCGTAACTAATTGATAGTGTAATTACTTAAAGTTGTAACTTTGTATTAACAAATATACACATGATATGGACGATATTGGGATATGTTTGGGTTTATATATAATAAAATTATTCATCTTGTAATTCAAAATTGGTGTAGTATAATAATTATGCCTCAATTTTAAATAAGTTGGGATCAACTATATGAATTCATATTTCGTTATTTAAATTTATATCATATCATCATATATACGTGAGAATATTATGGAAAAAATATTCCGTCAAAAATACAAGATAGCTTTGCTATGCCATTCCCTTTGTTTTGTCTAGTCGTCATCCGTCCGTTCGTCCTTTAGGAATCGTTTGATACGAAGGATAAGATGAAATATTCTATGATTATGTTTGTAATTAAAATTATACTCTATTTGGTTGAACATATACATTTAATCTCTGCCTTAATTCTGAATATCCACCTTATCTCATTCAACTTGAAATTATTTTAGTATAAAGTACATAAATTCCATACATTTGGAGGCTAATTGCATCCTATCTCAGAAGTTTCCCCAAATACTAAAATCGTGAATTTTTCATTGTTGTTGGATACATTTTTTGGTTGTCCGATACATTGCAAATGAGAGATGTATCCAAGAGGAGATAAGTATGTATTCGAGAGGGGATAAAGACGTATCTGAGAGAGAATGTTTGTAATTTTTTTTAAATGGTAGGAAATTTTAGAAATTATGATGTCTTAAATTGTGTATGTCATATAATTTTTCCATTATTTTATCCTACCTCTCAGGTGAAAATAAATTAGTCCAAAAACTATAATTCTAAAACTATAATCTCGAGATAACTTTATTCACGAATCAAATATCCCGTTAATATTTTAAGTGACTTTTTCTGGATGTTGCCAAAAAAGACTTGAAGACTTATTTTCAAGTCAACAATTGGACGGTCTCATTGACGTTTATCTTTTTGTATATATTGTAACGTATGCTAGTCAATTACTTTTGTCCAAAAAAGACTTCAATATTAATTTTAATTTTAATTTTTGCAGGTGTGTAGCTAATATTATTTATTATTAGTTATGAACAGTTATATATAATTATCTTTTAAATAATTTAATAGTGTAAATTTTGTATATATTCCGATCGTCATTTACTTTTGTCCAAGAAGATGTGTGTGTATATATATATTTCTTATTTTATTTTTCAGGTGTGTGACTGATTTTTCTTAATATATATATATATATATTATGATTCATGAATAATTATGTATGTTTATCTTTTAAATGACTTGATAGTGTAAAATTATATTGAGTATTATTAATAGAAAAAGTGAACTTTTCATATAAGAAGAAAGAATTATTATAAAAAGTTTGACAAATTGGAGTATTGTGTCTCAATAAAAGATCACTAACAACTTGAAATTGATTATTAAAAAGTTACTAACAACTTGCATCTTAAATAGCAAGAGGATTTTTTTTTTTTTTAAAAAGAAAAAGTTTAAGGATTCTGTTTGATTTTGATTTTAGGCCACTAATGTGTTTGAACTATCCTTATAACAATGACGAGTCAAAAATAGTACCTAGTATATTTCATGATCTAGGAATATGTATAACATATACATTTTCAAAGAATAAGATTCCAAAAATCTTCACAAGTTGTATGTGAGTAACAAATATAGTTATCTCGAGTTCTCTGAAACCTAATTTTACTATATATAAACTTGAAATCTATGTTGGAATCCATAAATTTTTAATCTTGAATTCGCTTCTGTAAATAATCTCTATCTCCCATAAAACTACACACTCCTTTTTCGTATCACATCCCCCACAAAACATTGAAAAGAAATCGAATACATATCGGAAGAAGAATACTCATGGTTAAATTCGTTGTTCATACATTGAATTTAAGTTAGATACATCGTTATTATAAAAAAAAAATTACACCATCAACTTTTCTTGTTATAACCATAACAAATAATTAATCTGATTCATTTTCAAGATAACATAATTAACTTACATTTTAAAGAAGCTTACCTAGCTATAAATATCAGTTATATGTCCTGATCATAATATATAAAAATTTCTTACACTGATGACATAATGATATATAACTTAAATACTTAATTATCTATACAAACATCCTCTATATGATGGGATTAAATAATCAGATCCATTATTAGTCTCATGATATATTTGAGGGGTACATGAAATGGGAACTAAACAAAGTCCTTTGCTCCTTAAATCAACTTCTTTTCTATCAAATCCTCCCCAATACCTTTCCTAAATTATCAAAAAAATAAAAATTAATGTTAGTATTAACTTTGCATAATAAATATTTATACTATTTTAGTATATTATAATATTATGGATATTTACACTACACAAGAATCCAACAAAATTAAGAACAAAAAATCAACTTATTTTTGAGAATTTTAGTGGTAAAATATAGTTAAAGTAAAAATATTATATACGCATAAATATACTTATTATATGTACGAATATAATATATTTCACTATTGTTATGGACGCGGATAAAATGTATTTCGCTATGTTTTATTAAAATCAAAATATTGCTATATGCTTTGTAATTAAGCAAAGAGTTCGCTATTTTTTGAAAATCTAGGCACAAATAGCACTATTTACGAAATTTCCCCATCTTTTATTAGTCGATATATCATCTTATGATGTGAGTTTCTCTATTATTAGAATGTACTTATTAAATACTTAATCGTATTAATTTAGTATGATTAGCCAAAATAATAATTAATTTACTAGATTTTTACATTTCTAATAATTGTATTTAAATTTGTTAAATAGCTCACCTTGCATGTATTGTTCTTCATGTAGGCATGGCTCAGTAGCTGCATAGGATACAAAAGAGAAAAAAATATGAAAACATCATATTATATAGTATTATATGAATTAAGCATAAGAGAAATGAAATGTTTGACGTGTGTGATCATCTTACGTAAAAAACTTATTTATATATTATAAAACATATATTTTTCAACTGAATTATGTTTTAAACATATCCTCTCATGTGATGAATGTTTGACGTGTGTGATCATCTTACGTAAAAAAATTAATTATATATTATAAAACATATATTTTTCAACTGAATTATGTTTTGAACACATCCTCTCACGTGATGACATAGTTCCTTCTTTTTCATGAAACAAACATATGAAAGATAATCGATCAGGCTACTTTTTTCATGAGACAAACATATGAAAATGTTTCTCGATAATCAGTGTCGATTGATGGATCCTTTAAAAGGGATTCCGAGAAAAACTAATTTGTATCGTACGTTAAAATTTGAACTTGTGATCTAAATTAAATCATACCTGTATTTGCTCTTGTAAGAATCTAACATAGTTGATTGTTTCCCACAAAACGGATGCGGTATCAGTCTATACACAAATAAAGACAATTTTTTCGATTAGAAATAATTAATCCTCGAGTTGAAATAATAACAACACTGATAATATTAATTATAATAATATATAAATTAATTTTAAAATCCGCTCAATGCATGCGATCAATATTATAAATAAATTAATCGTAAAAAAAGTTATCTTATTTATTTAAGCACAACATTAAGTTGTTATTATTAGTAACAATGATGAACATAAAAATAGCAACAAAAGATGAAGAAAAAAAATACGTTAAAATGGGTGAAATAAGGCTACTTGTTTTTTGCATTTTACATATATATGATAATATATTAATATGTTCTTGAATGAAAATTATTTACATCATTTAATTATTATTTTTAAAAAATAAATTTCTCCCTTGATTTTAAAATACAATTATTTTCGACCCTGTTTAATAGCACGATTAAACCTCAGCGATTGTTTGATTGAATACGAAATTTTTGGAAGAAAAAAAGACTAACCTTTCCAAATGGAGAGACAATTTGTTGGAGAGCTGTAATTTTGTCTGCAAGCTTCACTTTAGGAACTTGTGTCTATAAATCATAAATGAGTTATTATAAAAATAATATATAATAAATAAAAATAGAACTTCATACCAATTAAAATAGAGAATAATATTATGTATTGTTAATGCTATGATTTATTATTTATAATAAGAATAGAAATAAAGTATATTAAAGTATGAATGGTACCTCCTATTAGTAATATCATGGTTTTACAATATATGGATACGAATAATACTTAATAGGGTATATATATATAGACTGAAAATACTATCAAATAAGGAATAATATCAAATCTACAACTACATACACAATGTAATCTATCAAGTGGGATCTAGGAAGGTTCGTAATCGATCGAGACTGTTTTCGATAGACCTTCGACTCATGCATAACAAAAATCAAGTATACGTAAAGCAGATACAGTAGGGAAGAAGTTATGATGGAATCAACTAAGAAAAAAAACCAAGTAGCAACAATAAATAATATGATAACTAAAGCAATGAAACAACATGTAATGATAAAATTTTACCCATACCTTTGTAGATGTAACTGCAGAATTTTCATTCTTTTGCCTTTTTGAATTAGTCTCTAAATTATCTTCTAATTTCCTCTTTTTTCCCTCACTTGGATTATATTCTTGTGATCTTCCATTGCTTCTCTTCAATGTGTTGCATGTTGATATTGTACCCCTAGACTTGCTCTTTGAACAAAAACAAGTAGTATTAGTTTGAGTAAATGAAACTTTAAAGGGGTAAAAAAGTAAATAGACTAACTTTAAGCAAATATTGACTTGTAGATACTTTGGTTTTTAACTTAAAACTTAAGTAAAAAGACGGTACGGTACACTAAGTTTTGGTCCATTATGTGTGGAAGTGCGATCCGTGGAAGAGCCATATCACAATTCACATTAGGTCTCATGTATATATGCAGATTTACATTATCGTATTTCTGTAAGAGGTTGTTTTTACATATAATTTTAACATAATTTCCAAATTACACTTTTAAACACAAAAATCCTCTATTATACTAAGAGAAAGAATTACTACGAAAATTATCGCTAAATAGCTCGTAGCTAACCTGATTTTTTATAATTAATGATTAAATAGAATTAGCAATGCATTTCATAATTCAGCAATAGAAGTTGTCTGTCGCTAATTCCTGTTGTTTTAGTGTTTCTACCCCAAAACTTGTACAAATATTTTTCTTTTATATCCAAATAATGTGTATTTTATACTATTTTTTTTCATGTAATATAATTCTAGAGAGTGAGAGAGAAAGAGTGTTTCTTACTATATAAGGTTGTTGTAGCCCAATATTCTTCTTATGTTGTGCCAAATTCAAAGTTTTGAGACTTGGTTTGAAGTCCACCAATGGCTTATTGCTTAAATAATCACCAAAACAAATACTAGCCAAGTTTCTTGAATTATCCACTTCTTGATGATGAGCAATTTGATCACTTCTCATTGGAAACATAGAGTCCGTATCATTATTATTATTATTTGTATAATAATTAAGTGGCCTTCCAAGAAGATTACTATAAGGATGAAATGTATAATCATCATCATCATCATCAGTATTAGCTAATTGATTGTGATTAAAACAAGATTTAGAGGTGATTAAGGTTGTTGTTGATCCACCATCTAATAAACTCATCTCCATATTGTTTTCCAATAGATTTTTAGTATTAATGCTCCCACTTGTTCCACTAGTAGTACTGTTGCTTCTGCATATTTGGTTAATAGATTCAAATGAGTAGAAAATATACAAAAATAAAAATTATACATTATGTGATTATATATACATCCAAATTATACAACATATACCTACTTGTTGGATATTTCATAAATATTCTTCCCTAACTAGATATGAAGTGTTTTAAAAATGACTCAAAGATGGTGTTAGTTTCCATTGAGAAAACAAATAGAGAAGAGAGATTACGATTTTGAGTTCTGGATATGAAATCTTTTTTGATAGCTATTGGGAGCTATTTCCGAATAGTTCTTACATGACATGACTTCAAATTAATCAGATATCAACATGAATATAGATAGTCATCGATGAAAAATTAAAAAAAATCATTGATTATATTTATTATATATATTAGTGCTCCACTTTCAACAATGATCTTACTTTTCATATATCACATATCCAAAAAAAAAAAACTAGGTTTTGGGATAAGTGATAAAATCAAATTTTCTCTTCTACTAATTATTAACACTCCCCTATACCCCGACAAGATAAATATAGTCAGGGGCGGGGTCAAGTAACGGTAAGAGGTTCATTCGGCCCTTTTTTTTAACCTATGAAAAAAGAATACCTTTCTACATTTAATAAGTTTTAATTCCAACATTCTTTTTTTTCAGCCTTAATGTACTCAACTCCTTTAATTTATAGAAATGATATGATTTAAGAACATAAAATTCAAATAATATTTCTATATGTGTTATATATACAAATTATTAATAAAAAGGCAAATGATATTACAAGTCTACTTAACGTAATTAAACTTCGTGCCTAATAAAATTAAGACCTAAAACAAGGTGAATGAAGTAATTATAACATAGTCATACTGATTTATCTCAAAAATTAGGAGATAATAAAAGAAAGATAATCAAACCCACATGAGAAATTAGTTTAATATATTTTAAACAATTCTTATATTATCAACATAATTTAAACATGTCGCAGGTACATGAATAATAATAACAATAACATACTCAAACCCCCCCCCCCCCCCCCCCCAAATTTCTGAGATGAAGTCCGTGTATGCAAGATTTTATTCCTACTTTGTGAAGATAGAGAAGATGTTATCAAAATACCCTTGACTCAGGTATCGTATAACAAAACAATATATTGTAGAATAGTTTCAGATACATAACCGACTTTACTTATTATAAACAATTACATGTAATTATCATAAAAAGAGAGACGACTCGAATATGGGCAAAACAAAATAATATGAAATAGAATTGTTTCAGATACATAACCGACTTTACTTATTATGAACAGTTACATGTAATTATCATAAAAGAGATAGAGATAATCAAAACTCACAAGAGAAGTTGGCTCCAAATATGTTGATTGTGATCATGAGAATTAGCAGCAATTTCTCCACTAATCAAAGAACTATTATTAATCTCATCAACACCAAGTAGAAATTGATATTGATGAAGATTATTATTATTATTTGTTACACTATTTCCATTATTATTATTAGAAATAGATATAACATCTTCTTCACATGATGAACTTCTATTTGTATTACATGAAGACAAAGATGAATTAGTAGAAATTGGATGAAAAATTGTATTATTGTTATTATTGTCTACTTGTGGCCACCAATTTTGTGACATCAAATAGCAATTTGGATTATTGTTGTTGGCTAAATTGGAGTATTCAAGAATAGATTTTTCACTAGACATGGTTTATACTATATGCTTTGATTTTTCTTAATTTCTAACAATGGGTGGACAATGTTTTTAAAACTTTTTTTTTCTTTCTTTAAGCCAATGGGGGAATGAATGGAATTTAAAGAGATGTTTTTGTGGGGTTTTTTTTTTTTTTTTTGGTGACGTATTTTGGTAGGTATTAGAACAATTTTGGGGTGGACAATATTAAATGTTTCTAGCTTTTTAGCACTAAGAGTTTGTGGGCAATTATTATAATTTATATAGTTGGGGGGAAGGGGTGGGGAGGGGTATGAGGGACATGAAATCTTTTAAAAACTTGAGGGTGTTTGGATTGACTTAAAAGTTGGTCAAATCTATTTTTTGACTTCTGGAAGTGTTTGACAAATATAAAAAAAATAACTTAAAATAAGTCAAAAATAACTTAAAATAAGTTACGAAGTGTTTGACAAGGTAAAAAATGACTTAAAATAAGTCAGAAACCAAAAGTAGTTCTCCCCCTACTTTTTATTTTTTGACTTAAAGTCATTTCAGTTTGACTTTTTATTTTTAACTTAAAAACTACTTTTTTAAGCCAATCCAAACGGGCTTAATACATTGACAGGTCTCTGAACACATGATAAATTGTTTTTACGTTGTATTTTTGTCGTCTTAAAATATGTATTGTCTTAGTAAATATCATCATGTCCATTAAGGAATCAAGAAATACAATGAGTTGTTTATTATACTATACTCATATTTAACAAACGTTTCTTGAAATTGGACATTATTAAGAAGCAGGAGTATAAGGGTATTGTTAAAAATACATAGAAAAATTTGTCTTGAATTTTTAAGGTGATACTTATTTTGGGACGATTAATTTTACTAATATGTACACTTATTTTGGATGAAGAAAGTATTAGACTAGACACTTTTCATTTGAATTCTGGAAAAAGAATTGTCACCTTTAGTAATCACACTCAGGCAATCACTAGCTACAATCAATAAATTTTCATTGAAATTATTCATAAAAAACCCGTTTGAACCTTCCTTCTTGAAAGGGCTAAAAGTAACGCTTTCCTTTTTGAATATTATGATAGAGAACGTTCTAAAAATAATTGGACCACGATGAAAGAAGCCAATTTAGTCGTTAGTTAAGTTGGAGTCAATAAAAGCGCGTGTTCTCAAATAAGTGAATTTCTTATTTTTTTTTGTGTTTGGTATGTAAGTAAGAAAATATTATTGTGAATCATTTATATGTCATCAACAAATGTTATAGGAGGTGTAGGGTGTGTGGAGCGGTGGGAATGGAGGCTACAAATATTGGAACGCAGAAGAGATGTGTTGAAGGGTAAGGACACATTCAATAAAAAAATTGTTTTCCCTACTTCTACTTAATTCGCGTATAATCTCAATGAACTTGAAAAGTGGGTTGGAATGGAAAATTAATGTTAAAACCTTAGGATATTAAACTTGAAATATAATTTTTTTTAAAAATACTAAAATGAACAAGTAATGGTGAACGAAGTGAGAATTTTATCATTAAAAAACAAGAAGAAGATAACTTAGCTAGTTAGCTTTCCACCACAATCAATTTATTGTCGTTTGGTACAAGAGATGAGATCGATAAACAAAGTTATCTCATTCATAGAAATATAAGATATTCAATGAGATTAGTTATCCCACCATATATATATGAAATAGCTAATTATCATATCATTAATAGTATAAATAGTGAAATAAATAATTTTGTCATTAATAAATACTCCTAATCAAATGCAGAATAAATTAATTTAATATTTTATTCCAAAATTATTATCATTATCCCTCGTACCAAATGATTATAATTTGATTGTCACTTGTAATTACCCCTAGTCCTCATATTCCTTTAATTACTTTTCACCCTCTTTCTGTTTCCTTCTAATTTCTTTGACTTTAAATCACCTTTTATAATAAAAAAACATTATAAAATATACCCCCAAAACTCCTCTAGATTTGATTCTCAAAAAAGTATATATATAAAAAAAATTTAATTTTTCATTAAACGGAAAGAATATATTTGGACCATTTATGTAATAGTAAATGTATATACAAGCTACTTTTCTAACAAAGAATATATCAATGTTTTTCTGACCAAGAATATATCAATTCTAAATTGCAAAATTAAAAAAATATATCAAACTATTTTCCTTATAATATATAAGACAACATAGAAAAGTATTGTATCTAAATCATTATTTTATAATTAAAATACTTAAAAGAATGTTTGGATTATCACCATAAAAAAAAGTTGACATGTTTTACATTTTGTTATATAGCGTATGTCTACATATGAGATTCATTTCGTCAAATCCTTTGAGTGAAAATGATTAGTAGATTAAATTAATATTAGCAATAAAACAACTTAGATATTTGAATCTAAATTATGATACTGCAGCCACAAGATTTATCATTAATTTTAAAAAGTTGTCATAATCGTGAATCTTCACTTGAATTTAAAAAAAAATAAAAAATTATATCGCTTCATTTTCACATGGGCAGAAAAACTGTCGTTTCGATTGTGCTATCAGAACAAAATAGAATAGCACTCATTTTGGAGTAAGGACTTACTATTTAGATGTTTTCAATATTTATTTGTTCGATTCACACTTTATTGATCAACGTTTATTGTGGTTGATATACTATAGTTGTATTTTTCTCAATCCTCTTTCACTATGGGAAAGCCTTTTAAATGCTCTAACGCTTATACTGAATATGGACCGAATCATTTTACAAAAATTCTGAATCCAGCTCACGTACCGTTTTAATTATGTAGCACATTGTTGTAACAATATTGTAAATGCTGAATTCTTGAAATTAAAAACATAGTAAGACGTCCAATTTGGAATTGAGGGATGACTAACTTTGACTTACTATTGGTGGAATAGTTTTAGAATTTTTTTGTGGTGTATATAAATCCAAAAAAAAAACGAAATAATTAAATAATTGATTAATCAAAAAGTAAAATAATAAAATACACTTTATATTACTTTGGTGCTATATATATTAATTTTTTTTAAAAAAAATTGTTTATGTTGCTTTCTGCCTTTAGTTTTTCCACTTTACTTTGTTTCGATTTGGAAGTCATCTGTCTAATCAATATTTTATTTCTACAGTAATGAACAATTTTTCTCTTTGTATATATATATATATTTTAGTATTTTTGCAAAAGTATGAATTATATAATTATTAATAAAAATCGCGATAATTAGGTAACTCTTAATAAAATTGAAAAAAAGTAATTTCATGTAATAGTCCATCGAATTGTGCTATAATTCAAATCATCATCGAAGGCAATCGAGTATTATTGGATATATTGAGTTAATAATACTCGTAATACGTGGATTTAATAACAAAATTTTAATTTGAAAATTAATACTAGAATTTTATCCAAATTTCCTCAAGAAAACTTATTTATTAGTACGTAATTATTTTTAAAAACTACAAATACCTCAATATAGAATATTTAATATTTAATAAAGAAAAAATATTTTTTTAAATATAAATAAAAGTAAAATGGTTAAATATTCTTTTAAATATGATAAATATTTTGAAACGAATGGAGTAGTAGGTTATGCTTGTCTTTCTCCAAAGACAAAAGAAGGGGGAAAGTTTGTGGATTGCAATAAAATATATGACATACTTTATTTTCTTTATAACTTAAATATATCCAATAGAAAGTCGACAAAAGAAGTGAAATAAACAAAATTTGTACCCCATCCACGAAACTCTCTTTTTCCAAAAAGTATTTTAGGATTGCTTATATTTTTATTTTATTTTTCATGTTGATCGATATATGTATTATGATTCGATTATATATATACATATTAAAGTAAATTTTTTAATATAACTATGAAATTTGGAACAAAGCTACTAGTTGCCCCATTGCTTTTATGATTGATCTACTCCTATGGATTAAAATGAAGATATAATTATCACCCTATGCACATGAATTGTTATTCGAAGAGCAAATTAATGATAAGCATATGATTAATATTATTTTTGTAAACACTGATTTTTAGAATAATTATACCTTGTAGAATTGCAATAATATATTTGGTTGTTTGCGATACAATAGATTCAAGTGTCTGGACTAGTAGATCCACAACAAATAGGCGTTGACTTAGTTGCTTTTACAGTTTATTTTAACCCCGTTATTGATCCGACACAACTTACCGGTGATAGTCGCAGCACCATGAGCTTTCAAGGGAGGGGGACTGGATGCGTCATGTTAAACATAGGGAACTTAGAGAAAATACGAGCTTTCTTTAGGATTTTCAATAATGGTGAAATTAGTGTTTTGACTATAAGTTCGGCTGAACTCAATAGCATTAGTTGCAATCTTATATTTATATTTGAAATCTTTTGAACTTATTAATTTCAAATTCAATAACTTTAAAGAGATAAAAATCACGAACTCATAGATTTTAAATTCTGATTTGATCTTCTCTAAATTTTCAAATATTAAACTCTCACCAATAAAAGGATTCCACTTTCCAACATTTCTTTCCTCACGAGCAGAACACCATAGATGCAATATTAATATAATCATATTAAAGATAGGTGAAAAAAATATATATAATACAAACAAATCAAAACCTAAAACAAGAAAGCAATAAGACAAATTTATATCTCCATTAGCTTAGTGGAATTGCTGTCCAATCATATGATATATGCCTCTTAGTTGCAAGAAAATTATAATCAACTTAGTTATTAGTACAACCTTTGTAGACATGTGTCAAAAGAATGTGCACAAACTTTGTGAAAAATGAATATACTATGAGACTAGGCATATCCAATGGCAAAAAACACCTAATTACCAATTTGTAAAATGAGGTTCTTTTTCTGAGTTTATCGAAAACAGTCTCTTTATCATCATAAGATAGGAGTAAGGCTGCGTATATATCATCCTCCTCAAACCCTAACAAGATTAGATTGGTAAATTGTTGTTGTTATCTTTTTATAAGAAATCTAATAAAATTATTTTCTTTTGATTTAATTTGTGAGTATAAGAGTTCATTTTCTCTTCGTATACTATGTGGAAAGTTTTTTTTTTTTTTATGTGGAAAGTTGTG